TTTTGTGTGGCTCCCCGTGGCATTCCCAATATCAGTATTCATGTAGATGTGTTTGATGTGTTTGAAGCCACGTAGCATACCTTGGAACATGACAGTAAACATGGCAGAGGCTCTCCCTCTGTGGAGCAGTGATGCACGTCACCCCTCAGAAGTGTGTGACGGGTGTACAAACCAAACCCACTGGGCCAGGCCGTCTCCTGGGATTCTCCCTTACTATGCTGCTCTGACTGATTGCATGTTGCTCAGTGCTACACTGTTCAGAATAATTCCACCTTCAGCCTGGAAAACAAAAGAGCAAACTAAAACAGGAGGCAAACAAGAAAGAGAAATGCAAAGCATGGACTTGTGACAAGTTATGGAACCCACTTAACTGGTTATCTGACCCACCTACACTACATGTCATGATATATCCTCTTCTAATATTTTCCCAGTGTTTCATCCCTGGCAAATCACTAGAGTATGTTTCCTGCATGCATCCCTGGGGAAATTAAGAGGCGCACTGTGTATCTCGGGAGGATTCCCCCCAAAGAATGAGAATAAAACAGGCAGCATGAAAGAGTAGTGTTGGTGTGAGGAAGTTATTGGTCTGGCAAAGGGATTGCCAACACATCAAAATAGCATGGGTGTTGAACAAGACAGAAACTTGCACCATTTACACCTGCCAAAGAGAGCAGAGAGAATGCCATCCTGACATCAAACATTTCCATAGCCACATACACACTGCGTGATGTGAAGTACAAGAGCTGACGCTTCATGTCAGATAGAATTTCATGAAGTGACATGTACAACATGTTCACATGAAAGCGTTGCCTTGAATATTGTTTTTGCAATGGTAAGATAAGTCATTTATATACAGCTGCAGTTTTAGAATATATGTCATACATCAGGCAAAGCTTTGAAAAGAGTTTCCTATGATCTGGGACCGTAAAAATAAATTGCATCAACAATTTGACAAAACAGTCGATTGTGCAAGATGCTATCAAGCTTTTGTCAGTGAGTAGCAACAGTGCCAAGTGTGATATTACAACATAAGACTTTATTACTGACAACAGTAGAAAATTGTCTCTGGTCTCACCTGAGACATACTATAACAGCAGATATATGGCACTGATTAGTAAATATCCATTCCCAATAATTTTAAAACACTGCTTTTAAGAGGTAAATCCCATCTAAAACCTGATAAAGCAAGAATGTAAGTGAACTAAACAGACTTCATCAGGGAGCTCTGAAATTAAATTGTACTGTGGGTTGTTTTCCGCTGCAGCATATGCAAACTACTGTATATCCAGTGTTCTCCTTAAAAGATAAATTTAGCTTTTTATATTATTCTTGTTGGCATCCCCTTTCTTAGCATGCATTCATTGAAGTATTGTTAGTTCTCAGTCTATGTAGATTGAGAATCTGTTTTCATACAGCCAATCAAATCCCTTCATTTCAAACCTGCATTAAGCAGTAACCTCAGAATTTTATTATAGACAGTCACTCTGAGTGACAGCCGTACAGCAGCCTGATACACAACACCACAGCTTAGGACTAGGACTAGGACTAGGACTAGGGGACTAGGAATAGGAATAGGAATAGGAATAGGAATAGGAATAGGAATAGGAATAGGAATAGGAATAGGAATAGGAATAGGAATAGGAATAGGAATAGGAATAGGAATAGGAATAGGAAGGAAACCCAAAACACAGCAAACCTATATGCACAATACTTCAAGCCCAAAAACCTGACCTAAATGATACAAATGGGGGAACATTTATACTGGCTGACCAAACCAGTAGCACACACAGGGAATGGTCAAAGAAGCTATCTAAATAATTTACCAATAAACACTGAACAGACAGTCTGCTAACAACTAAATATTTTTCTTTAGATGTAAAAAAAAAAAAAAAAAAAACATAACTTGACAAATAAAGCTTTAACATACACTACAAACAAATAAACAATATATTTCTCCCAAACTCCTCCCTTTCTTGTATTGGGCACTTGGTGCAGTCCAGGCCTAGTGGGAGGTTTAAGCCTGCTGCTGCCTCAGTCTAATCTTTTTTTTGCCGGGACCACCCCCATCCATGAACCAGGAAAAGGTAACTCAAAATAAAATTTACAGACATTAACAAAACAAAATTAGTCAAATGTGCATGCTTTGATTAATTGTGTATGTCCAATGTTAAATCAAATGCCTAAATCTACAAGCATGAACAAAGAAAACAAATATACATTACCTAGCTAATTCTACTGCTGGTGGTGGTTTAGGTCCTTACATGGTGAAAGCCAGGGCTGAGGCCTTCACCAGGATAGAGACAGGAATGTTTGGTGTCTTTGTTGTGTGAATATCGTATGTTTGTGTTGTGTAGCCTACAGACTGAAAACAAATCTCCTCACGGGGGCAATAAAAACTTATCTCTAAGTCCTCTTTTCTTTTCTAACATTATTTTTTACAACAAAAATATAGGATGAAATGTGATTTCTGTTGGATTATTTTGTTGTACTACTTTTTCCTAGGTCATGGATGAACTTTTATATTCACAGAGTTTAATAAACTTCTCCAGAGATGGCACATGTACTGTATATTCTCCAAATATCCAGAAAGAAATATTATGAATCTTAATGGTAAGCCATGTTTTGATAAGAAAACAATTACAAGAATTTATTATCTCAACAATTGTTTTGACAAGCTGTATCCAAAATCAATACTGCATACAATTATTTGAATCTTTGTAGCATACTGTTTTAAGGATAGTATACAAGAAATAAACAAACTTAATGGTTTTATACTAACAAGAAGTTATGTAATACTTTACCAAATTGCAGTTTCACAAGGAGAAAGCCAAATGTCTTCGTTTTTTCAAAAAATGTAATTATTACATTTGGTGATATGTTCTTAGAGCTCTTTGACTGCCATCCATAAAATGGAATGAATAAAATATTGTAATGTAGCTTAGCTTGAGGAAGGAGCCTGAGACAGAAGTTGCATTTTTTTCTTTTATTAAACTCGGCTAGTAACACACAGCAAAAACCTGAACACCCACCCAGAACTAAATACATCCCACCCTGAGGGGCATTCTGGGGGATCCCGCCAGGTGCTTCCCTCCTAAGGTATAATGGGGGCCCTCCAAGTGTCTCTCTGTTCCCCAGTGCTACAATATTCCATCTGTCCAGTTCAAAATGTTTTCTTGCTCTGAGTACAGTGGCTCCTCCATTCCCTTCATGCATTGTATTGTTGGAGAATAGTGTCCTTCAACAGCACACACAAAAATCAGAGGGTTTTGTAATACAGTATGCATACTGACTGTCACTTTTCTAATGTGACCACAGTACACACTCAAAATCCCACAGTGGGCTTGGGACACAGCTAGGATTTCTATTTTTTTACAGTGGGAAAAGCCAGTTTTATTTCAGTTTTTCATGACTTTTAGTATTTCTAGTATTAAAGATTGCCAAGGAACAGTGAAGGGATGGTGTTGGCAGAGGAGGAGAGCAGTTCATTGTGGCCAGGATGACAGTGAAGAACAGATGAGATGAGGTGACTGAGGAGTGTTTTGTAGGGGTGTGTGTATGTGGAGGGGGGGGAAACTAGGCCAGTGTCCAGACTCAGAGCACCAAAGGCTCAACATCCCTGGATGCCCCGTGTCAGTCCTCTGACAAGAGAAATGGGACTTCTAATACAGAGTTTTTCAGCACCAGACGCTCCCCGTCTCCTCTGAAGAATACCCCTCCTCTTTGGCACACTCACCAGTCAGAGTTTGAGGAGAGAAATGCACTCGTTACAATAAGGAGGGCACATGGCATGGGACCTGAGGCTTTGAGTGCCGCCTCCTCTACACTCTCAGTAGAATTAGGATCTTTCCTACATGTACTGTGAACTTCCAGTGTTGACATGCAGTAAAGAGAGGCAGGTTTTAAGGCAAGTTCACACAGATGAAGTACATGGCCATTCAATGTGTTTCTCTGCTTGTTGGCCATATAAAAATAACAACCTTACTGAGTATGAATAGATGACTGTCTGATAGCTGAATTTGAATATTCCTTCTCATCCCTGTAGTCTACTCAGCTCCCTCCTGCGCCACAGATAAAGCAGACTTATTGTCAGGCATAATCAGGTGGTCTGTTACCTTGGCAATTAAAGCCTTGTTAGAGATATAAAACCTTGAGACTCAAATGGAGAGTCCCTGGTGAATCAAACCACTGAGCAAATCCTTAAACCAAACAACCTTCCAGAGGGAACACTTCTTCTCTGAGGATAGATGTTTAATTATCTCTTCTTGTTTGGGGCGGAAAGGAAGGAAAAACTGTTTCACTCCCTCTTGTTTGTCTTAAAAGCTCCTGAGTGTTTATTGGAATTAATTGAAGTGCTATGTTCGGTTGTCACAATGCATTGACCTAAGATGCTGAATGTTGTGAACAGTTTGTGAAAGAAGTGAGAGACATAACTGGGTGTGTCGCCATGCTCACTGAGCAAGCGACACAGGGAATGTGACGAGCTGCAGTAAAACACAGATCAAATCAGGGATTTATATGTTTTCTTAATAAAATGTAAAGTGTTTAGACTTATTGCAGGGATAATAAACAGATTTAGGGTTTTTAATTTACTGCAATTAATTAGTCTTTAAAATATGACTGCTAATTGTAATCCATTTATCATTTATTCCCAACTGATGCAGCATACCTAATTCAGTGTTAGCTCTCCTAAACTAGGTCAACTATTTTCCCAAATGAATATTCTCTTTTGAAAATAATGCTACATGTTTGAGCAACATGAAGTGATAATTTATCATTATTTAATGATCTTCCACAGACAGTACATCACACGTGGCGTAGTCGGTGACAACAGCTGTGCAGGATCTTGAAGGGTTTATTTTCTAAGCCTTGGCTTCTCTGCTTGTTCAGTACCACCTATCCCCCTTCTTTGTTGTCCAGCCTGATTTTGTCTTGAACAGCCATTTCTGTTCCCCTCTGTGCCTCTTTTCATCTCACCTTTTCCTCTGTTTCTCCTTAGCTTCCTGACATACTCCTCTAAATGGGCCTGGCATCTATCCCACTGTCTAACGAAGGAATGTGTGTGGGGGCGGTGTTTAGGGAGGTGAGACCTTCTCTGGGGCACACTAATCGGCTCCAAACCAAGGCCCAGGCAGGGAGGCACTGGACAGGTGAGTGTAACCACTCCCTACACCTCCTGACTGATCATTAGTGTAGGGGGGCAAATCAGTTCCATCCTTTATGCCTCAGTCACTCCCTTATCCCGGTGTCCCCAATCACCTGACTTCCATCCCTGGTTGCTGGTTCCTTCTTGGGCGCCTCTGAGGGGGGTAACAGTGAGCAGCTGCTCTACCCAGGGAGCCTCCTGAATGCACCTTCTGTCGTCTCCCTGTGTGTGTTAACCTTTTCATTTAATTAACACCATTCCAACTCCCAGCTCCCGCCACCATGGTCTGGAGAGAGGTTATGCAACTGTCAGGGAAGTATGGGAGCTATTGGGGGGTTAGAAAGGTGGTGGGCAGGTGGTAGCGATGAAGGTGAGAAGGGTGAGGAAGAGGTAGAATGAATAATGCGTGCTTGGCCTGGGAGTGAGGATTCTTCTAATCCTTCAGAGCCTTCTATATTCACACAACTACAGTGCACCAGTCATTCTACACAGCTGCCTGTTTTCTAGGGAGAACCCCAATGTGTATTGGACCAGCTGATGAAGAGATGGCTGCTTTTAAGATGTACCACAGCTCATTACACTGCACAAGAGCGAGAACACTTTTATTTGTGCTCCAGTCATTGACTACACCATTGTAGACATTTGTAAAAACTCAGAGGTCTGTTCAGTGGGTTACCGTTAGGTGAATGTGGATGTTTGTTTGTTCTCCAGGTTACAAAAGATATATTCTATTGTGTTGTAAAACATACTCCATTTTCAAGGAGTTTAATCCTCAATATAAACAGAGGCATGTTTGATAGACATGATACAGATTTCTAAAAACATATTTTCCTCTAACTTTCAGTGTGAGAACTGTTGAACCAGGTGCTGGTATCACTTAGAGGCGAATTGGACCGGTTGTGTTAAATGTGCTGTATGATAAGCAGCTTCAATTCACAGTTACATGCTGTAGCGCAGTTAACAACCAGTGTACAGAGAGGTGAGTTGACTTGATCTCATCTGAAACTGAAGATTTCCTAATGAGAGAATAGTAATGAGCAAGGAAAAAAAATCAATTTCATTTTACTGTTAAAAAAGAAAAAGCATTGAAAGGTTTGCTTTTCTTTCCTTTCATCTTGTGTGGCCGAGAGATTTTTATGATCATCTTGGTTCATGGTAATGCCCCCATGGGATCCTCTTTCTTGGCATGTTCATAGTGGTCACCATTTGCAGGAGACGGGCTTTGGAGGTCAAAGCCATTTCAGAAAGACATAAAACCCCTAGAATGATTTTTGATCACACTATGAAACTGTCCCATTGTGCTTAAATGGTATTTTTCATGCCAGTAACACATCTTTGTGGAGGTTATTGTCATGACAAGCAATTTAAAGTTGGTCTAGGGGAATCCATTTACAGTCAATATGTGAATATTTCAGACATTTTCTGGAATGTTCTGGACATATTTATGCAGCCAGTTGGTGAGTGTTTTAGTTCTTCTATGAAATTTGTCATGCTATCAATCAACTAGCTGAAGATGGGAAATGGATTTCAGGGTTGGAACCAGTTGCACCGGTGATAATATTGTCACCAAAACCATGATAACACCTTATAGATCAGTTCATGATGTTGCATGGGAGAACTATATGAGGCTAACATCTCAGGTTTATGATGGAGTAAGTAAGGGGAGAACTGCCAGGAACTTCTCCTTATGAAGACCCAGAGCAAGGGCACTGTCTCCCCAGCCCCATAGATCAGCCAGCCCTGAATGTCAAACCGCACAGCAGCCGCTGCAGTGCCAGGAGTCCCCCTCTCGCTCCCTCTCTGGCCTGAGATCTGCTGTCTGGTGACACCACTGTGCTAATGACCCGGTTTGGGAGTCGCTCCACGGGGCTCCTTGGCTTGGGAAGATGGAAGTTGTGGATATCCAGCTGGAAGGTCACTGTTGACATGGACCGCTCGCTCCACGTTCTTTCTGCTTTGTTGACATCCTTCAATTTACAAGGATGCCGAGACAAGGAGCTTGTCACTGACCCTCCCATTGAAGCAGCTATACATTTAGAGACTGGCAAATCAGAAATATTCTTATGTGATTTTCTAGTGAATGCACAGTCTTTGTGAACTGCATGACAATTTTTATTTTTTTTTTTTTTTGCTCCAGTGTTTAATTGCTCAACAATTTGGATAACAGTGAAGTTGGAAAGCAGCACTCACGCCTTGCTTGCCAACTCTGAAGCTTTCTGATTGTTAGCTCTCCATGTTGTTTTTGTTCTTTTTTTTTTTTTAATCAGTTTACTCTCAGAGTATGCCTCAGTGCTCAGAGAGGGCAATGTTTTCAGTCACTCACTCTCTTGACTTTTTTTCTCAGCCTCAGGAGTTTGGCTTGTTGGAGCAGAGTGTAAAGTCCCAGGGGAGCGCTCCTGGTGATGGGGGCACTGCCTCGACCTCACTCACGCTGGGTGTGGGTAGCATCCAACTAGGAAGACACACAATGAAAACCAAAACTGAAGATGGTGATGCTTCTGCTGGACTCTCCCAGGACTGAGCCTTATTCTCAGGGTCATGCATTCCGGCAATCTCTGTAATTATAAGCAAGTAAGAAAAAAAGTTGAATCTTCTGCCTTTCTCAAAATGAACGTGCCCCACTCCTCAAGGGAAGCATTCACATCTCTAAGTTCTAGTAGCTGGATGGGTTTTAATGAGGCAAGTCAAGAGTATGTGTGAGTGTGTATGTGTGTACGTGTGTGGCTGGTGTACACGCATGTCTGTGTATCTGCCCTCTTCTAACGAGCGTAATTGACCGACTGTGCATTTTTCACCATTTGCGAGAGTATTCTGCTAAATAGCCTTTAGTGATTATTATTTTACAGGAGACACTTCATTGGGATTAAAACTTTCTCTGCGTTTTTAAAGTTCAGTTACTACTTGTTTGGACGATATGCTGTTGGAGCCAAATGAACAGAGGGTGAGCAGGCCACAGGTCAGGAGGAGCCGCTGAAGGATCCCACCATCTGAGGGCCATAGATTCCACTGGGGAACGTTTCACCCTGCTGAGAGGCAGAGTGAAGTCTCTAATGCTGCAGCACGCATGCTCGCCGAGGTGTCTCGGTGTCTAACTAAAACCCACAGGTGGTGAAAAATTCTCCACATAACTGCTCAGTTTTACTACAAATTTTGCAGCAACAAGCTGAGGTGATCTGAAAACAGACTGTGCTTTTGTGTGTTTGACAGTGCTCCTGCTCCAAACGCTCGCAGTCTAAATGTAGCATTTTTACAGGACAACACAACTGAAGAATATAAAGCTGCACCTGAAGAAATAAATCAATGGCTTTTACCATTGGCCTTTTGCAGTATCATATACGTATGTGGTGAATAGAAATCTCCTGGCTGGCATTGTTTTTATTACAAACGTGTCATGTTTTTATTTATCTTTGCTTGATTCCCTTTTCCCTCCTGCTCAGAGGTGAGACCTGAAACAACAACAACATTTTTGTTGATTTTCACTGTGCCTGTTTGCTCCCAAAAATTTATATTTGATTCATTCTCCGTTACATATTTATAAGGTTATCCCAGAGGGACAAGCCATGTCAGGCAGTTTTTGGAGTATCATGAGCAACATTCCTCACATGAGGTTTCTTTTACTTGAAAAAAACAACTTCTGAGCAGGAGTGTACTGTAACTTAGAGACTGAACTGTGTAAGCACTGAGTCAAGTCAAGCTTTTTCCCAGTTACTTTGTCACTAATGAAAGTAGCAAAGAGCCCTGGAGGACTGAGAGCACTGTTTGTTTGTGTTTGAGAGAGCATTGGAGAGGTATGAACAGGAGGGGAGGGCAATGTGGTAAAACTTTGGGAGAGCCGCCTGACAAATCGCTGAGATGGGGGGGAGGGGGTGGTTGGTGACTTCGGAGCAATGTTAAGATTGAAGATTTAAGGCAGCTGAGATCTCCTGACAGATTCCAAGCACCTACAAATAGATGTTTCATATGTGTATGTTTACTGACTTTCTGTAATTTTGCGAGGGCTTTGAATTTACCAAAGTGCATCATGTCAATCTGTGTCAAACTTTGGTTCACTGATCTTTTGCACACATTTTATGACAGCTTGTGGGTGGGTACGTTATTTGAAAACCAAAGGGTGTGAATTAAATTACAAGACACAAATTGAGCAAACACAGTGCAAGCCTTGACATAAGTCATATATGCCAACTTATGTTTAATTCTCAGGGACAAAACATGCAAAATAACAAAGCTTTTTTTTCATTAAACAAGTGTCTGGTGTTAGGTATTTTTAGTCAGATAGAAATTGGATAGATACTTTATGTATTAGAAATGTTTAGTGGAGATAGGATGTCTAGTTAGACTGTTAAATGCTTAGGCCTGCTTATGAGTTTCTACAGGGTACATCTGGTCAAGGATAACTAGAGAGAAGAGTTGATGACTGTCAGCAGACAGGGTGTTTAATATTATTATTATGACGTGTATAACTGTAGCCTTAGCCATAATAGGTTCTTATGTTTAAGCCACGACATGTTACTAGAGGTCGTGAGAATGTTTTTAGCTACACACCACTTAATCAACAGACACACACACATTGATTTGCTTCATGTTTTGACTACTGCTATGACCAGCTGCAAAGCTGGCAACAGAGATGTCTCGGTTGACGTTTCTGTGTAGTATGGGGCTAGCCCAACCGAAGGGATATAATGTATAGGCCTGGTGGGTTCAGGGTCTTTCATCTTACATCTGCCTGCGAGCAGTTTGGAGGTGCAAGATACCTGAGCGTGTAATGTTAATTTTTACCTGTGTTCATGGAATAAATCAGCACTGTTTTGAAGTTACTTGGACTGTCTCAGAGTTAGCAATGGTAAGAAGAACCAAAAAGTCCTTCACTGGTAATGACTGTCAGCTAATAGAAATCTTTTCTGTAGTTCTTTCTATTACATTTACATTACTTTATACTAGGTGATTACCTTAGATGTCTGTAACAGTGTATAGCCTCATTATGAACTCCAAAGTAAAAAGGAGGAATACCCTATAGAATAAAAGCAGTCTTATTATGTATGCACATCATTAACTTTTATAGTTATAGTTAACTTTTATAGTGAAATTTCTTTAACGAAGTTAGATTCTGCCACAGTAAAGGCTATCAAAGGTTGTTGTTAATTTTCTTCTTCTTCTACACCAGCCCATATTTGGGAGTTGCCCTATCGACTGTTTCTCTCCTTCCCTGTAGGTCTGAAGTAAAAACTTTGGTTTCCTCTTGCATTTGTGTCTGTGAATCAGTCAGAATAGAAATGCATTGAAAGTGGGGAAAAGCAGTTGCGTGACTGTAATTTTTAGATGGGCCCCTGGCAGAGGCTACCTCCAGGCTGCGGAAAGGGAAGCGAGCAGAGTGAGAAGCCCGCTGCAGGACTCCTCTCTGGATCTCATTTTCACATGGCAGGGGTAGTATGGGGGCCTGGACATCCAAATGCAGGTGAGGGTGTATACCAATGCACTGTTGTGAACATTTACATAAGAAAGAAAGGTGATTTCTTTGCACAGCAATGGGCCTTCTAATTAAGTCCTACTGAAATTATAAAATAAGAAAAATAAAGGCTAGATTATTCCTACTAGAATATTATTAAAGGGGAGGAGGCTATATTGTTAGACTCAGGCAGAAATTATTAAATTGTATTCTAAATTAGAAAAAAAAAGCTATTTTTTATAAATAATCTTAAAATAATTGGTGGCAACAATAATATAAAAAGTCAACCTGCAAATAAAGTGATCATCCCAAAATTCTATCTGTGTCATAACATGTCATGTATGTCAGCAGCCACACAGAAAATGTCTTTCTGCTTAACCATTTCTAGGGGCCCCGGCCCGCCTGCCGTAGACGGAGAGTGGCCGACGGCGAGCTGAGGCAGAGGAGACGCCAGGGTGAGCAAGCCGACTTTGGGTTTAGAGTTCGACTCCGGATCCGGGGACCAGAAGATCCAGCAATCCGCATCTTGCCATGATCCCTCGGATTTTAATCATGCCTCTCTGTCTGTGTGTGAGTGCAGGCAGGCTGACAATGATTTCCTCAGTGATTACGTACAGAGCGAGTCCCTGCGGGGTAGGGGCCCCCTCTGGAGCCATCCTGATGGCTTTGGGGGCCTTGCTTCCATTTTCCATTATTATGTGGACTACCGGAGCGACAGCGCAGTCCAAGACCTTGCAGGTTTGTGATGAGGAGGGAGCTTCCATCTTCTCTCTGCTTCTTCATCCTCTTTTTAAGAGCAATTTAGACGTAGACTTAGATCAGATTCCGAACCTAATTCATGATTAGCTGACTGGAGTGAGAAAAGGGAGAGTCTATAATAGTTTTGATGCTGTTAGGTGGATATGAAGTGAAAAGTGTAATTATCATTTTTCCTCCTTTTTTTTGGTTTTGTTGCATTTTTTTTTTTTGCACTCTCGCAGGAGGCGTTTTGCTGATGCCTTTCTCACGCGGATTCGTTTGAGATGAGAGGCGAAAAGCAAATATTCCGCTTTTATTTCTAAGCGAACATCATGCCTACACGCGTGTGTGTTTTCCCGGAGAATGGAAGCGCATGACGGGATTACTATATTCTCACACTTTTCCCGACACCCAGCTCAAGTAAATAGAGTCGCCTATACCGATCGGGCTAATTGGACTTTATAACATCCACCTACTCATCACAAAATAACAGCAAATTCGTGTTTACTCCGCGCGGCAAGGGCTAAGTTGCATCTTTTCTGTAATGGTAAAAAAGCAGCCGCGATTTTGGTCAGTGAAATTTAGAGAGACTATACCTTTAGACTATCCAGTCTGACACAAATTATCAGACAGAAACTGAGCAACTTCAGCGTTTTCTGTAGGATGTCGCGCCGCAAGCAAGCTAAACCAAGATCACTGAGAGGTAAGTGATAAGCCTATGTTTGCTGGCTCCCACAGTATTTTATTTTAAGGTGATGACAAGTCTAGACGAACATGATCTGAACTTATCGCTCACTGAAATGCAACTGTCTTCCCTTTTACGCATTCCAAGTGTTCTTCCTGGTATGTTGCGCATGAAATCGACTGCATACACGTATTTGGCATTGGGGAAAAGCTTCAGTTCAGACTGTAATGTAATGATAGTTAAAGTGCAAGGGCAGGGCATGGACGGTTTATAGAGCAACAGTGCAGCGCGACGCTGGCAACATCTGGATATGTTAAAGGCGCTCCTAGTCGCAACTTAAGCCGTCTGATGGAATGGGGTGCATAGTCACGTGATCCCCACCCCCACCCGTCTGAGAAACTGAGTGGAAACATTTTATATGTCTGGGAAAGGGAGGGCTCTGATGTGTGTTTATGCGTTTGCGTGTGCAACACTTAAAAGAGAGATTAGAGATGGGATATGTGTTAATTGGACATGTTCGTTAAAAAGTTGTAACTGTCTGGATTTATCAGTGGTTAGTTCAAATCTCAAAAACAACTGAACTTTATGATGTTTTTATTCCAGATAAACTCTCTGTACTGGATGTCAGTATATACACAGTAGATACGTGTCATTTGTGTTGTTTTTCTTTTATGTTGATATTTTCCTCACCTTTTAAACTGTTGGATTGCTAGTAATTTGTGTTTTTGTGTCTTAGTGTATGTGTGTGAGCTGAAAGAGAGAGAGAGGGAGAAAGAGTGCAACATTCATGCACACACACGCACACATACGTTCACACAGTACTTTTCTCTGTAGCATTTAGGTGGGGGATCTGCAGGGTTTTGGAGGTTGAGCTCCAGTTCATCTGGCAGGCATTGTATTTTGCTCCGCAAATAATTGTCCACAATTTCACATTCCCAGCTTGTGGTCTGTGAAGCCCTTGCTCGCTCCCCTTTCCTTCTCGGAAGTCTTCATCTCAAAGGAAGATTACACAGTCTGCAGTAGAACATTCATGCAGCCACCATTTTAAATCAATACCCAGGAGAGGGTGGAAATGTGAGTGCATGCACATCTTAAAATCGTCATATTCTGTTTCCAAACCTGCACTGCTATATTCACAGTAAACAGTTTGACACATAGATTTTCCATTTTCTCAGACCAGATTGGCAATAACTGTTTTTTGTTTTTTTTTGTAGGTGTGACATTTACTTTTCCCTAAAGACACATCACTTACATATAATCACCTCCTGCCAGCATTCCTACATGCTACAAGTGTGTGTGTGTGTGTGTGCATTCAGAAGAACATCTGTTATGATTTCAGTACATCTATGTGTGTGACAGAGAGGACTAGAGAGTGAGCAAATCAGTATGGAAATGAAGTCAGAGGGATGACTTTGTTTGTTTTGCTATCGTAGCTAAAATTTAAATGAGAGAAATGTGGAGCACAAAACATCCAGACTTTTATATCTTCATCCCGACTGCTCAAGCAGAGCAGAAATGCAGATACGTCATAGATTTTTCCCTGTTTTGGATCAAACCCAAGGAAGGCCAGGCAGATGTTATTGTTTTTTTGTGTATCTCTTTCCTTTGTCCACAAAAACTTCCTTTGTAATTTTTTTTTAATGCTTGCTTGACACTGTATTGTCTTCAGTTATTTGTAGAAGACAGGAGCTGTCATTTTACTTGTAGACTTTTGATAT